CTTAAGAGCAATAGAAAATATTTCTAATGTAGAAATGTGGCCCTACTAAAACATACAGACATGAGAACCAAGTACTTTTATTATTTTAATAGTAGCCTTCAGGTCACTTGCATTGTTAGTTCCTCTTCCTCTTGACAACAGTCCATGGTTTAGGCCAAGCCACCTTGCTGATGTTGCCATGGTGATTAACATGGTATTGGTGCATTTGGAAGTGTGTGGGGGAGAGAGTACGGGGGAGGTAGAGTCCTACTGGAAAATGAATCAGTATCTTAAATTGGCCAGCAAAATGTTTGTCAGAAAAAAACATGAAACGCTCACGTTTCAAGATGCAGGAGTACCTGACAAAACTCAGTGGTCCAACCCCAGCAGATGGCATGGCGCCACAAATTTAAGTTTGATTTCCAGCCAGCCAGCCAGCCAGAGATATACAGGACAAACAGCCATGCATAAACACACACTCACTCACACATGCATGCATGGACGAACACACTCAAACCTAAGGGCAAGTTACAGAGGCCATTTAACCTAGCAGTTAAATGGCATCTGGGAGGAAGCTGGAGTACCCAGGGAGACCCCTGTGGACAAGGAGAAAACACAAAGTCCAGAAAGACCCCAGGCCAGGATTTGAACTTACGACCTTCTTACTGCAAGACAACAGTGCTACCTACTGCATCAGCCTGCAACCCCATGATTTTCTTTTCATATTTTAATTAGTAAAAGCATAGTAAAACCATAAAATAGAGAATTGTCTAATATTTTGACACCTTCCACAATTCAGCATACACGAAAGTAATTGTTTCATTCTGTGATGTCACTGCCCATAAACGGTAGACGTGATTATTATCTTTAGTCAAAACATACTGAGGAATATGAAAAATTAGTTTTCATTTGCTCTTAATCACACCAAATTCAATGTTCTTGCAAATTTTTGACAATTAAAAAGAAACCGACTCATTTCTCAATTTAGCATTTTAAAACAAAATTCTTTTTTTTTTTTTACTACTGGATGAGAGATTACTGGTTCTGATGAGAAACTAATTGCTAAAGCATTCATGAACCCCTAGCCTAAACAGTGTCCAGTTGCCAGCAGGTTTAACTGACAGTTTTGTTCAGTGACCCAACTGTATACTATAATCAATTTGATTTATTTTCTATACATTTTATAAATCAAATGATCATATGCTGCTTTATTGAAGTAAAAATCCAAGTGGAGATAACTTCTTTATTTCAGCCTGTTTTACAGTATTTGGGTAGCAGACATCGGATTTTGAGGCGTGTGAGGACCCTTCACCTTTACTGACTGTCATGTGGTGTGGTTGGTGGTGGTGAGGAGAGACGCTGAGACCCAGGTTATGATGAAAATTGTGATATTTAATGACGGAAGCTCAACAGTCCAATGCAGGCAGCACGGCAGAGAGATTAGCACACAGCTAAATACCGGTAGCAACTGATACACAGGACTGGAAACGAGAGCTAACGCTATCCAGGACTTCACAGTTCTACTGGAGCGCATCGACGGCCAACAACAACTGATGTAAGACAGACGTGCAAACAACAAGGACCTGACTAGAGACAAAGACAACAGGTGGGTTTAAATACACAGGGAGGGTAATCAAGGGAACGAGACACACCTGGGAACAATCAATGGGGAAGACGCAGAGAGAGACTCACAGGGAACAGGATAACAATAAACACAGAAACAACTCAAAAATAAACACAAAAAACTACGGATCATGACACTGACCATAAGCTGTAGGATTGTTCCAGTAGATTTTTCCCACTGAGAGACTCTGACAATTAGGAAGACATGAAAGCAACGCACAGCACTCTTCTGATTCAGTTGTTAACAAAACTATGGTGGTAACAATAATGAGCAATTAGCACAAAAAATATTTGAGACACTGTTTCATGTTATTTTGTTGCAGTAATGATAAAAAAGGGGGAAAAAAGAGATTGAAAATAAATTGCAGCATGTTTTGGCAACAGATTGTAGGCCAGCATCAATACACCAAGTACTTTAAGTAGCAAAACTGAACAGGTGAACAGTACAAAAGAACTGTATTTATCATGTTTTGAAATAATTTATTGATGACTTCATGGAAGCAGTTTTACTGTGTGAATATATTCAGTTATGAACTTGATGAAAGTGCGCTTAAAATGAGGGAATTCTATAATCTATAAATGTTTTCATGTTATCAGAACCATTTCAGCAGAAACAAAACAGGCAAAGTGAGAACAGTCTTTTCTTATATAATTTATCAAAAATATTAATAATATACTTTACAGTGCAGTGATATTGCAGAAGAAAAGGCAGAGTAATGCTACTATTAGATTAACAAAACAAATTGCACTTAGGATAAGCAACTGAGTTGACTGGTGCTCCACAGTTTGGCATTTTCAGTGAGTCTGTTGTTACAAAGTTCGTCAAGATGCAATAATCTGTGTGGCCCAATCCAGTTCATATACAGCCAGTCTGACAGTGTGTGACAGATACAACATACAGACTTAAAAGAAAACAATCATTACTCTGTAACTTACAGCAATTTGTCAACATTCAGAATGGAAAGAAATCCCAGCTTCCAAAATAAAAAGAAACGATTCCTTATCATTTACTGAGAATAAGAAAAATATCTACAAATGCTTAGATAAAAACACCTCACAAGAAGCACCCTTATATTTTTGCAGTTATTCTGATTAAATGTCATTCATTACTCATGTAATGACTGACATGTCTTTTTTATTTGCTTAATTTAATGAACGCACTTTAGAAAATGTCAGAATTTATAAATGTCAGATTTATAAATGATAAAAGCTAAATATATAATTTTCATACAAAACTTTAAAATGGTTTGTAAAACACTGGTGTGGACCAGTAATACAGCTTTGGACTGTTTCAGTAGGCTCCTTCATTATAATTATTCCTATAGCAGTTAGCTAACAGGAAGCAACATAGAAGCTTTTCTTTGAAGCCCTGCCCTGTTTGCAAATGGCGGTAAACTGGGACAGTTATTATTCAGTAGACCATTTACAGGAAATTGGTCAAATAAAGCTCAACTCAAATCAAAAACATGTATTCACAGAACAATAAACTTCAACATAAACTTCTATTGTAGCTTCATTTAAAAGCATAATTTAAAACTTTATGGCACTTGTTTGAAATATCCTCTACATTGCAACAGCAGAATCTACTGCATTCTCTCCTTCAATTTGTTTCAAATATAGCAACATTCAACATAAAGGCCTCCTTGGCAGAATGAGTTATTTTTTATTACAATTCTGAAAAGGAGAATAATTCACATCATTATAAGCCACACACCACATGTCTGGATGAAAACACATTATACATTCAGTTTATTTGCAGGGCAAACCTGAAGCAGGATGATGTTAACCAGTCAAATGAAAATGGGTCACAAATAGTGGTTGGGGGAGTCACATAAAAAAATCTAGTCATAAAGAGAGTAGAGGAAGATGGATGTGAAGAAAGGAATATAAAAAATGGTGAGGAAGAGGAGTTGGATTAAAAGGGGTCATAATGACAGGTGGCTGTGAAGGAGAGGTTAAAAGAGGGATGAAGAGGATGTGTGTGATCATAAGTATGGATGATGGGCTAGGATGATGAGGATGGTATGTGTGAATAAGAGACTGTGATGAAGAAAAGCTCAGAAAAGAAGAGGAGGAGGGAAATGAAAGGGGTCAAATGGGGTCATGAAGAAAGATTAGGTGGATGAGTGGAAACAAAAGCAGGATAAGTGAGATAAAAATATTCATAAACAGAACAAAGAATTGTGGAGGGGAGCAGGGGTGACTACTGATGACGTAACCTGAGCTTGGTTAACTCACCAGTTTCATTTTAAACATTCTGCTGTAGGCCACTACTGACCTGTGAATATTTGGAATATTTTATATGTGCAGTTAAAAAGCATAATTGAATTGTATTTGTTTAATTATCTGCATCTTAAGAATTAAATAAATATATTTATAGCCATTATAGTGGGTCAACCACTGGTCCCCACTCTGTGGAGGTGTTTTACTCCACAGTCTAATCCTCAGTCCTGGCTCCTACTGAACAAAATATGGCTGCTGATCGTGAGTCTTGTGTCTTTGCTCTAATCTCGTTTACTGCCTGCTAGCTGACAGATGTCAGTCAGACCTCAAACACTAACTGTGACTCAGACATTCTGATGTTGTACATGCCGGTTGGTATACATTTCTAAAATGCTGCACTAAAGCTTTCTACCAGTCCTAATCATCTTTTCCTGAGAAGTTATAGCAAAAATTAAGGCAACCCCACAAGAAACAGTATAAAAAGTATTTCTCAATAGCTGCTTTAATACCCAGTAATTATTTTGTGTGTAATTTCCGTCAGAAATGGCTGTAGTTTGACTTTAACACCACCAGTAGTGGAATGAAGGCCTGCTGTTTTCTGCAGACTACAGCAGTTCTGTTTCAAATGTTCACTCCAGATAGCAGATGATGCAGGTTCCATGGAGAAGGCATAAGAGTAGAGTCAGTTCTCGTCATGGTTACGTTCTGTCTGTAGGCATCAGTCAAAAATCTGCAGCCTTCTGTGGCCACAACTGGTTTCCTACAGATGTGGATCGTTTGGTGACAAGAGGAGCAGCAACAACTTACTGAATGGAGCCTTTACTGGACTGTACAAAGTGATATATGAACAGTTAATACAGCATTTTGGGAATGTTTGCTCTTCAGCCAGTGCTGGAACTGTCTGTTTGAGTAACACTTTCTAAAGTTCTTCATACTGTATAATAATGAATGATGAACTTCATTTCTTTGTTAATTTAACTTATACTTCAGAAATGTTATCATTTGTGGCAAATTTGTTTGAAGTACTCCTAACTATAGATGATTGCTAAAGAAAGGTTTCAGTTACGACTGGTCCTCCACTTTAGCAGATGGACACAGTGGATACTGTGTTGCCATGTTGTTGGTGTGCTGTGACTGTCAGTGGCTGTGTCTGGTCAGAAGGCTGTGCTGGCCATGCTTCCTGGAGCAAAGAGTCTTGGCAAGCTATCCTGAGATATCTCCACGTGTCTGTAGGCCATCTTTCCTTCCTCACCTGTTTCACACAATAAATAACATACAACAATGAACAGCAAAGTAAAGAATTTATGACGTAATTATTGTGTTATCCTTATGAAGATTTCCTGTTAAAGTTAAAAGACAGCAAACAAAAGCTGTGCTGAAAGGTGCAGACATGTGTAGGAACTTTGGCAAACTGGCAAATTCTTCTTATGTAAAACTTTGACAGATATTTTCAAGTTTTTTCCACCTTACGTATGACACACAGCATACCATGTATGGTTCAAATAAAAAACTAAATGGGTGAACTACAACGATATAAAAGCTAATTGTAAATTCTAAGACTTATTTGATCTGATCCAGTATTGAGATTCAGAAATCTTGAAACCTGTCATCCATTAAAGAGAATCGCTATCATTTGATATGGGAGAGAGAAAACAGTTATCAGAAAAGGGACATCCTCTAATTTTTTAAGTTAGCTACTCTTTCTTTATGATTGTACGTAACTCAAATTCTTCTTGCGCTCAACAGCTCATCTTTCCCTCATGTTCATCTATAGAGTTGACAAGCCTCTTGAGGCAATCATGTAGGAACAAAACAACTTTCTTCCAGGGTATATAATAGTTCAAATTACCCAGTGTCAGCAGTGCTTGTTTGGCAGCATCTCGGACATCTTCCTTGTCTGTCTGACAAATATACACCAGCTGCTCAATGCTTTCTTTGGCCTGGAGGGAAAAAGAGAGAGAAGGATGACTGGGATGAAAAGCAGTGGTAATGGAGGATGAGTGGAATGAGTGGGGACAGTGAGGTTTAAAGTTCAAGAGAAAAGCCTGTTTCACAAAATACTTCAAGCCAGGACTTAGCTGCTGGTTGTCTTTGTGTCATTCTGAAAAGCAGGTTGATGTCAACTTGCTGATGCAACTCATCTGAGACACCCAGTGAGAGTGACAGCACCACAACAATTGACTTATAGAACAGGAAGCTGGCTTTGAGATGTAGTAATTATAGCTGGTCTACATTCTAAAACATTTATTTGGGCTGCAGCTCAAGTTTAGGGCTTATATACATACATTAATCTCACTTAATTCTTCTGGTTTAGTGGTGACAGCTTACTTTTTTGTGTTTAATTAACTTAAAAGTCACACATTTTGAACTTGAAGGAACTTTTTACTTTGACTTTAATTGAAACATTTAAGTTCAATGCTGCGTTCGTATCCTAC